CCGGGGGTCCCGGGGCGGACAAGGGCTTCGAGAACCCTGTGTACGACAACCCCGTCAAGGGGGTAAGTCAAGACTGTGCTACCCTTTTTAACTGTTTTAACTTTGCCAAGAACACTATGTTTTCGATGCCGTTTGTTTGTATTTATATCTGTTTCTAAGTCACTGACGACATGTACTTGATCGTCTGACAGTTTTCAAAATCTATCCAGTTTCTTGAGTAACTATTTTCTTGCGTTTATTTGTATGTATATAATATGGACATCATAACTCAAATCGTGAATGTGTCTATATAATGTTTGGCATGTGGATTGGCGTCGACAAAACAACAAAAAAAGTTCGATTGTGGGCTTCCTAGCGACTCTCTCATGTACTGCAGTGGAACTTTTGGGGTTTAATACCTCGTTACTATATGTGGACAAGTACAACTGTATGCGCTTTACATGTGTAAACATTGGTCACATTGTTACGCTACTTCCTTGATAACTGGTAATACATGCACGACACCTAGCATGTTATGTCGGTACTGCACAGTAACTGTTCTCTGTCATAAACCTTTCAGGACAACCCCCTGTACTCGGACATACCCGACGACCCGTGAGCCGGACTCTGGGAGTCGAGGATTCCGATTGGCCAATGGCGGAATCTCGTGTCGTGACGAGAACCAATCAGTTCTTTGCAAATGTTGTGCTAGAAAAACGCACTATAGTAACAAAATGGCAAACCTAGCGGAATGGACGATAAGACGTAGACAGAATGTCTAATGACAATCATACATATTTAGCATTTGTTCTTTCAAGAGACAACACGTATCCGTAGATGTTGCAATCTTCAAAATGACTATGAAAGGAAAAATGAACTGAATATACGTATATTATTGAAAACTTTACAAATCATAGAGCAAGAAGAATGTGTTGTATTATAAATTTCTTTGTAATGAATACCGGAAAAGCCTTTTGGTTCTTGTGTTGAAAATAGATGGAAGTGTGTAGACAAAAATTTCTCGAGCCAAATTCGTAGATTTTCGTTGGAAAAATTATTAATGATTAACAGTGTTGAATTGTCTTGGGATCTAGCAACAAATGTGCAATGATTAATATAGTATAACACCCCCGTCGGTCAATATTGGCCATGGTAAAATGTGATGACTATATTAACTACCTTCGAGCTGTTCTTATGGTATTTTGTCGTATTATGTAGCATTTTGCACCAAAAATTCTAATATTGTATCTACAAAGAATTATTCGTGTAATCATGATTTAATTTACTTCCTCTATTCAGCATATTTGTGCAATTATCTCACATAAATTTGTGACATTTATGGATGGCGCTGAAACAGCTCATATGTAGTGCCACCACACAAAAAAAAACAGTTCGTGAACGTAACAAACATGGCTGACAGCTGTGTTTCCTTCTTTTAAACACTTGCAAGGGATAATATTTTGGCATCCACTTCCTAAATTTCACTTATTTCCAATGCATTGAGGTTGACTCATCTTACTTTGTAAAGAAATGACCAGAAAATTCCCTTCTCGTATGTTCCTGATGTTACATAATGCAGCATTAACTGATTCTCATCAGTCATCTATATAGTACATTCCGCCTATGCCTTGCTCGTAAATTATTTGTTTTTTAAATCATTTCAAACTACAAATGACAAATAGCATACTTAGAATCATCATGTTGAATCCAGTGATCAGAGGTCATGCTTATTCAAGAGTCAAATTTTCCCCTTCGGTGTCATCTGTTTGGAAAATTATTATCCGTTTCTTTTAAATCATTTCCAAACTACAAATGACAAATAGTATAGTACTTAGAATCATCATGTTGAATCCAGTGATCAGAGGCCATGCTTCTAAACCACTTTCAAGAGTCATATTTTTCCCCTTCGGTGTCATCTGTTTGGAAAATGAATATCCGTTTCTTTTAAATCATTTTCAAACTACAACTGACAAATAGCATACTTAGAATCATCGTGTTGAATCAAGTGATCAGAGGCCATGCTTTTGAACCACTTTCAAGAGTCATATTTTCCCCATCGGTGTCATCTGTTTGGAAAATTAATATCCGTTTCTTCTAAATCATTTTCAAACTACAAATGACAAATAGCATACTTAGAATCACCGTGTTGAATCAAGTGATCAGAGGCCATGCTTTTGAACCACTTTCAAGAGTCATATTTTCCCCATCGGTGTCATCTGTTTGGAAAATTAATATCCGTTTCTTTTAAATCATTTTCAAACTACAAATGACAAATAGCATACTTAGAATCACCGTGTTGAATCCAGTGATCAGAGGTCATGCTTTTAAACCACTTTCAAGAGTCATTATATTTCCCCTTCGGTGTCATCTGTTCGGAAAATTAATATCCGTTTCTTCTAAATCATTTTCAAACTACAAATGACAAATAGCATACTTAGAATCACCGTGTTGAATCAAGTGATCAGAGGCCATGCTTTTGAACCACTTTCAAGAGTCATATTTTCCCCATCGGTGTCATCTGTTTGGAAAATTAATATCCGTTTCTTTTAAATCATTTTCAAACTACAACTGACAAATAGCATACTTAGAATCATCGTGTTGAATCAAGTGATCAGAGGTCATGCTTTTAAACCACTTTCAAGAGTCATATTTTCTCCTTAGGTGTCATCTGTTTGGAAAATTATTATTTGTTTCTTTTAAATCATTTTCAAACTACAAATGACAAATAGTATACTTAGAATCATCGTGTTGAATCAAGTCTTCAGAGGCCATGCTTTTAAACCGCTTTCAAGGGCCATATTTTCCCCCTTCGGTGTCATTTATTTGGAAAATTGAATAGTTGAGCAGTCTGTGGCGAACTTGTGAAATCCCCTCGCCCCAAGAGATACATTTGTTATACGAGTACGTATCTGATGGAACACTCCGGTTTGACCATCACTGACACCACACTTTACATAAAAGCAAATGTGGGTATCTGATAGGAGAAACGCCTGAAGTCAAAATACAGATTCTAAACTCGTAAGGTGAAGGTTGACTTGCCGTTTGAAAATTATCTCACGTGCGGGCAGATACAGTGCGTTTAAGAGCATGTAACTAACCAATCTGTTTTAAACCTCCTGGAACTAAGATTTCTTTTTCCAAGTAAGACCACACCAATTTAATTTGTCGGATTCGCCTCTAAATTTTTTTTCTGATTTGCAAAAAAAAAAAAAAGATTCTGGTTCTGAATCAGCTTATACCCCCCCCCCAACCGTTGAGGAAAGTCCTTTTCTTCCTAGTTGTTACATTTTTCCCTCTATCAATGCAGTGGTTTGATTAAAAGTTTAAAATTCATTGTTTAAATATTAACCCAGCCTTTTGTTTTGACTCCTATCGTTGTATTTGGAGCTATAATAGGATACCTTGACCTGTTTTCATTTTTATTGTTTTCGCTCTGTCGCTTCATTTTTTTTCTGAAAAAAAATCTAAAAAAAACAACAAATTAAATTAGTCCCTTAGCAATATTCTGCGTATGGACGGAACCTCTGGTTTAGATTGCAATCTGAGTGCATCTGATTAAGAAGTTGAGTAAGAAATTCTATCTTTAAGGCCACCTTAAAGCATGCGTAAAAGTACGTTTTTATCATTCTATTGAATATTTACACATGCTTTATACTGTGCTTCAAAGGTTGGATGTCGTGTAGTGGTAGTGGTTATCTTTCATTATGGTTAAGCACATACATTGCGTCTTGGTTTGTACTGTTAGCTGTAGGCTTTCGGCGTAACACACCACATAAGAATATGTATAGAGATGTTGACATGATATGGAATGTATGGAAAGTGTAGCCTCTATACCAGGCCCTAGAAGTGGCTGAAAAGTGTGAAAATTGGTCTAATAGACGGATAACATCCAGGGTAGTTAATACGCTATAGGAGGGCAGTTTGCCGCTATTGAAGCCTGGTAGAAGCTATGGAAAATGGTCAGAATTGTAATCTGGCATGCCGGCACGGAGATGAATAAAATGTGAGCACTCGATAACTGAGAGTGGACTCTTACTCGTAGGAGTATACTTCCAACTTCCATTTAACGAAGCTAAGAGGCACTTGAAATAAATGAACTCTTCCAGTCATCCGGTGTGTGTGTGTGTGTGTGTGTGTGTGTGTGTGTATGTAAGTATGTGTGTGTGTGTGTGTGTGTGTGTGTGTGTGTGTATGTATGTGTTTGTGTCAGTGTGTGTGTGTGTGTGTGTGTGTGTGTGTGTGTGTGTCTGTGTCTGTGTTTGTGTGTGTGTGTGTGTGTTTGATAACTGGAGCAGACTGAGGTATTTCGTAGGTGAGTAGGTCTCCATGAGCCCTCAAAATGATTAGCTTTCGGCCCCTAGCAGCTTCTTACGGTACTGCAGCTGAATCTCCACTTTTGATATCTCGTGATCTGGATATGCTAGTTATAGGATCATTTCATCCGCAAGTAGTTTGATGCGTGTTGCTGTATACATGTATATGATCACTTGGAGAAAACGGAAGCTATAGAATTTTAAGAGGTGAATACCAGGGCAACTTTCAAACCATTATTCTCATTTATCTGCCATAGATATTTGTGCCTTAGGGGCAATTAGTCTATATTACAAAATGATAACTATAATTTTGATGTAATCTTTCAATATCAAACATTACATTAATTGTGTAACCTCAGGAAAATCTAATTATAAGCACCGTTAATTTTGCAATAAAGAGAAAGCAATTATATGATTTTAAAGGCAACTTCAATGAGGCATAATGCCGTATATTGAGCTAATATGATAATGATTTAGTGACTTCCTTTACTAAAATGGATTTATTGTGCGAATAAGAAAGAAAAAGAATTGCAATTATGATATGATAATTGCAATCTATGATATTTTCTTGTGCTGAGTTCAAACTATAAAAATCTGTTACACATGAAAAACTTGAAAACTTTTCAGGTTAATAATATATGAAAGAATTTTAATGAGGACTGAGAAGTACTTCAGATGAAATTTAAGCAATATTCCCGTATGAACAATTGATAGGTATAATTTTTAAGTAAAAACTTTGTGCTGAGTTCGAACTGTAAAATGTGTAAAATGAATGTCAGTTATGACAAAAACCTTTCACGATAACATGGCTAAATGTTATGGAAGGCCTTTTAGTGAAAACTATAACGTCCTTCAGTTCATAGAGCATTTGAGGCATATTTCAGTACGAACTTTCGACAGCTTTCAAGCTGGCTATCTCATTGTATTCTAGTCCATGGTGTCAAAGGCCGGATGTACCCCCATTTTTGATCGTATACCAGCTATTAAATGGATCAAAAAGCAATTATAACACATTTGCCGGGACTTGACACCGTGTCCTCTTAACATTCATAAGTCCACACTTACTCAATTTAGTGGATGACATCCACTGTAGACCCCCAAACTAATGGGCGCGGGAAATAAAAAAAATAATAAACCACAGGAATACAAAGCTGGTATTGTGGATTTAATAGCGACGTTTACGACAAGCCGGCACATGCTGGCTTTTTACGGCATTTATGAGTCGGCACTGTACTGAGTTCTGGGATTCCATGGAGCTTCGGCAGTCTGGGCGCCGTCCTCCGTAGTTACCGCCGGCTCCCTATTGTCGCTAGCTATCATGGACAACACAGAGGATGGCACCCAGGCCAGAGCCACCTCGGAGGTGATTTTTTCTTTCTTTTGAGAACAGGCGAAAATCAATGCGCGCGCGGATGTCATCCATAAAACTAAATCAGTATGGCCTAAAACAGAAAGTGCGAAACAGAACAATTGAAGTCCACAGAGGGTGATGGAGTATGGCACTTGGGTTAGATGAAGCGCCAGCTGCACTTTTAATAAAGACTCTTATATACTGAGTATAATGGATAGAGGATGGTGCCATTGCACGGGATTCTATTTCAATGACACCAAATGTTCTTTTTTACTGTAGTGAACATTTACGCATACTTTAAACTGTGCTTAAAGATGGGTTGATTTCTTGTAGTGGGTCACAGAGAAAGACTTGGAGTCAATCAAGAAAGCTCTACAGTTGTTGACTTAGATATATATGGGTGGTTTTATTGAAATCTTTCAGTCACAAAGTAAAAACTCACTTCTGAATGCTGTCATAAATAGAGCTGTGTACCGATACGCAGTACCGATACTGTACCGGAAAAATTGATTAGGTACAGGTCCAAAATACCTAATCCCTCAGTACCGGTACTGTACCTAAACGATTTCAAACCGATTTTATGCCTATTTGTGACCTCAAATGAGTAAATAGCTAGTCCCCCATGGGTCCCAGTGAAAGGACAGTGTGTTCATGAAAACAAATCATCTTACTTTTGCCTATATCTTATCTAGCATTCTCCATAAACAAACATTAAACCTTAACTATCAAGTTTATCAATGTTTTCCTTGTTATTGAAGGAGTTCAGAAGAGCATGTAAACTGGTCGAATTGTTCAGGTACAGGTTCAGGTCCGGACCTGTACCTAAACCTGTGTACCTGTACCTGTACCTGTACCTAAAATGTGTTTAGGTACACAGCTCTAGTCATAAACATCAATTTTTGTTTCATTTCGTTCCTGTACCTTTTTCCAGAACATTATACAATCGATATAATCGATGACATCTTCAATATATTCTTTGTCTTGATGTTGTTAACTTATATGTCACAATATCATAGAATATAAAACCAGTATCCCAAAGTACACATTACTACAAAACAAATGCGTAAATAGTATGTAAAAATCATGCAAATAACTTAAACTTAAATACTCCTTAAGTTATGAATTAAATCTCTCAATGTATAAGCTTTACTCTCCGGAATGTACATGTAGCTGCTTAGACTGAAGTTTCTCTGTTACGCTTGATGACGTGGCCGTGCTTTCTTCCACGTTCCGTTTCCGGTCCTGATTAACTGTTGCCGTGACATCATGTCCGGTCTCTCATTCCTCCAGGAGTGTCCAGCGGCGGGACGTCCTGGGACGTGTGTGGTATCCGGACCTGGATTGGGACAAAGGGAAATCTTTATTGGCGACGTCTCAGGGAGGAGCCAAATGGTACAGTATTGTGTGCAATTTGCAAAAATTCTAGGAATTGTACAGGGCTTTTGTCCACATGCGCTAGGCATGGGATGTCCACAGGGATGTTTCCCAGCTCTGTTTGCAGACCCACATCAATGCCCACATTCCTGGAAACCCTTGGGAAGACCTCTCTGCCCCGGGTGCCAAGCTGATAGCTGAATAGGGCTGAGCAATTTAGTCAAAACCTCCGATTTTGGGAGTTGGAGCCTAATTGTTACATAGTTAAAGAAACAAGCTAAGTATGTACCGTAATGTATACAAATAGTATATATTGCGGTAACAGATGAGATGTGAACAAATGTGGCTGGTCTATATTCATTTTTTTATAGGGTTAGACTTTTTCTGTCAAGGCAGTGGCTAATACTCTAAGGCAACCCAGACGGATCCCCAGTGAAGATCTTATTATAATATTATAATGAGTCACTTGATTATTGTGATGAGACAATGACAAGCCCGATGCTTGTAAATATGTAATGTTAAAATATAAATAGGTGATTATCCAGTTCACTGCCCGATACACTGTCCTCAAATTTGTATTCGAATATCATAACATATGCACCCCATCACACCCCCAAATGTGGTGACTTCCATTTTCAACATGGCCGACAGCAAAACAGACAAACGTGTAGAGGAGGTGGATAGAAAGGTAAGGATCAGTACTTAGATTGTCATCACAAGTGCTCTGTCTGATATTTTCTAATGAAGGTTTTAGAAAGTTTTCTAAATATATAGCTCATATTTCCTAAAGAGGGACAATCATATTTTTTTCGAACGATGTAAAGTCAACAAACCTCAAAATCTGCACCAACAAGTTCCTTAGGTCATCTTCATATGTCGACGATGTGTCGACGTCACTGATTGGTGGCTGGGCTCTGCTGTGGAGTGGAAAGGAGAATGTAACATGTTTGTTGCACAAATACATCAACATAAGCACACACATACACGTACCGACGTCCACATACACACATTCATACACACACACACACACACACACACACACACACACACACACACACACACACACACACAC